TCCCGCATTTTTCATGTCATTACCGAAACAATGTATGTTTTAGTCCATTGGCTTCGACTGTTTTTTACTACACCCCTAAATTTATGATCGGGAAATATTTATGTGTCACTCTCTCCCATAGCTACATGGTGAGCAGATAGGCTGGGGGATTCCCCCTTCGTGTTCGAGCGTGGGGCCCGGTGCGACCGCACCAGTTGCACCCTCCTAAGGACGGCCCTGTTCCTTATCAGTGTTCTTCATCTTTAACAGCAACTCAATAAACTGAGCTGGACACAAAAGAGATAGAAATCTTATTTTCCCAGCATGCTTTGATTCAGGCTGCATAAGCGTTCGAGCGTGGGGCCCGGTGCGACCGCACCAGTTGCACCCTCCTAAGGACGGCCCTGTATATATATATATATATATATAAAACTTGCTATGTGTACTACATGTACTAACCGAAACTTGTCACAGCACTTACATTGTCCTCATTTGTAAGTCTTTGGATAAAAGCATCTGCTAAATGACTAAATGTAATGAATTGGTGGCTATTTCATACATTTGAGTGAGATCTGCTTATGACCCAGTGAGTGACAGTTATGTTTAATGGTGGGGTTATGTGTGGATCATCATGCTCACCCCCCAAAGTCTTTTGTCAATTAATATTTCCACCTCATAAAATCGGTATTTAAGTGGTCTGTCTATCACACAGCATTTGATATTTGGTCAAAGCATTTACTTGACAGACACATGACAGCAGTAGTAAAATCATTAGAGTGATTGGATGAATGTTTTGCTGGCTATTGAAAGTTTTTATTGATTCTTCAATGTTGGCAGACTGGAAGCAAACTCAATTGTATTTTGGTTAACATGAAAGAAGCTGGAAAAGCCACACCATGACCAACAGCACCTCAAAGAAATCTCTGAAATAATATCTTCCACTGATGCATCCACACAGAGAAATATATTGACTAACGGTAAACAGATTTTGTGGCAACATTAGCAGTGTGTAAATGCTCAGGACATAGCGTGTGAAGAATTGACAGTCCAATCGCTCCACCCGTGTCAAAGGCAGCTCAGATTCACTGAATGTGCTGTCTTGACTTTTTACTATTGTATGGAAAACACAGGTAGATGTGAGGAGAAAGGACAGATTTCTGGCCAAGATCTCTTTCCATCTAAAGCAGGTGCACAGACTGCCTTAAAACACATTCAGATGTGTTTAATGCAAGAGACAGTACAAACACATGTAGGAAAAAACTGTCATATGAGAGGGTATTTACAATTTTTTAACTGATGTGGAAATGACTATAATTAGATGTGAATTTAAAGGATGTGAGAGGCAGATGTGTGCCATGATGGATGTTTTTACATAGACTGAAAGACCTCATGAATGTAACACACACATCGAAAGACTCATAATTAGATGTTACAGGCTTGAACTCTTTGTATTTACTTATGCATTAAATATAAATATAATATTTGATCAACTTCAGCTCCTCTGTAAAATCAACAAGGCCACAGAGGAATACTTAAGCTCAAAATAAATCCATCCTGAACATTCAAGCTTAGCAGACATAATTATTACATCATTGGAAAAAAGTAAAAACATAAAATAAATAAATAAATAAAAACAACAACGGTGTGAAGATTCTTAAAACATTGACATATTGTCCATGCTCAATTGTATTGAATGTGCACTTGTAGTCTGCATAAAATCAAGCATGTGTGTGATGACAGAATTTTCATTTTGTATAAAATATTTCTTTAATGCCATCCTCGACAGCATCAACAAAATGGAAAAAGAAAATAACTGGACTTCACTGATATGTTATAAGTAAAACACATTCATCGCGGTTCAGAAGCTGCTGTATTTGGCCAGGTCTTTTTTCATGTCATTGTATTGAGCGCTGAGTCGGCCCACAGCTTTAGCATGCTCCTCATCCACCTCCTCCTTCAGCCGAGACTGCTCCTTCAAGAATTCCTCCCAGTTCTGCTTCCGCCTCTCCGCACACACCTGCAGATGTGTGTTCTGAACACACACATCAACATACAATATGCAAATTATCATTAGCTTTCATAATAATCTGTTTGAAATTTGACCATTAAAATGCTAACTAACTATATTTAGTAGGGGTGGGAATCGCAGGGTACCTCACCATACGATATGAATCACGATACATGGCTCACGATACAATGATATCACGATACAGCGATTCTGCGATAATCTATATATTGCTAGACAATTCTATAATGATACATAACGATATATGTCTAACTATGAAAACAAAATGCCTGTGAAAAGGTTAAGTGCAAGTTTTCTCTCTTTATTCAAATCCAAACTGTTAGAAAACAGCACAAAAGTTATGTAAATCAAATTTAATCATTTTATTCTTGGACTTATTAGAAGCTTACACTTGTCTTTGTGTGTAAACCAACACATTTAACTGCTTATCAACTTTATATATAGCCTATATATAAACCTGGTACATTTCAAAATTTACCGGAATTGAATATCAAAATTGAGTGTTTTCTCAACCTTTCCTCACCTCTCATCATAAAAACGGAGCCCCGCACACATTTCGGCCCTTTGTATTAAACTATGCATACATACATGATGCTGTTTTGTTTATAGTTGTTTAAGCAACTTAATTATAATTGGTTTATAAACATTATTTTAAACATTATGCACTTTTTTCACAGATATCATGTTATCTTATGCTATGAAGAAACGTGCATTAGTAATATTTTGCTCGATGCGCCCTCTTGTGGCCTCAGGAGAGAAGTCAAAAGCTTTTCTTCACCCTAACTGAAATTATGCATTTTAAATTCGAATATAATTCGAATTTTGATAACATTTATGTACAAAATTCGAATTTAGTTTTTCAGTCCTACTACAATGCTATCATATGACCCCATCATACTGATTAATTCAGCAAGTACAATTGTTTCATTTGTGTTAAAAAGTTTACTCTTCTAAACTTGATTTGTTTGCTTTTGATTTTATGTGATTCTTTAAAATGTGCAATCTAGTAGATTAAGAAGTAAAATGTTGAAATTAAGTATTATTTTATGGTGAGATTGTTTATGCTGCTTTACTGAAAGAGTAATTAATGAGTAATTAATAATTAGCATTTGGAATGCTAATGTACTATTACTAGTAGTCGATTACAGTTAGTGATGGGAAAAAGCTTTTTTTTTATTTTTTTAAAGGGGTCATATGATGCGATTTCAAGTTTTCCTTTCTCTTTGGAGTGTTACAAGCTGTTGGTGCATAAAGAAGATCTGTAAAGTTGCAAAGACTAAAGTCTCAAATCCAAAGAGATATTCTTTATAAAAGTTAAGAGTCAGCCACGCCTACCTAAAACGCCTCGTTCTAACACGCCCCCACATATCTACCTCACTATGTGGAAATATTAGCATAATGCCGCCCAAATGTGCACGCAAAGAAAGAAGGCAACTGTCTGTCAGAAATCATAGCACGTCAGCTATTCTGTCACGCGACTCTGTTGCCCTTTTGGGCTTGAACTGATGGTAAAACTAACGACATTATTAACTGTCTTGATATTTACTTTGAAAGCTGAAGCTGCGATTATGGTAAGTGTGTTACATTTCCAACACGTGCTTGTGGTGTTCGGCCAATCACAATGCACTGGGTCAGCTGGCCAATCAGAGCAGACTGCGCTTGTCAAAGGAGGGGGCTTTGTTGAAAATGAAGCGTTTGAGAGAGGCGGGGCATAGAGGACCTACAATAATGTACAGTATTTGAAAAATAATGTGTTTTTTGAACATTAAAGCATGTCAACATATTCTGTTACACCAAATACACAAAATAATGATTTTTAAAATAGCATCATATGACCCCTTTAAACTTTAAATAAATTTAACCAGTTGCTTTGTGAAATGTTTCATCATCTCAAAGCACTCGAAATGCCATACACTAGTAATACCTGCTGGTCAGAACGGTGTAAATGTAGCATAAACGCATAGCCTAAACATCACCTTTTACAAACCAATTGCAAATGTTTTATTGAAAGCGCAATCTAAAAAATATGAAGTGTCCGTATAATGTTATTTTATTAAATTGTATGACTTGTTTTGTTTGTTTTATGGAGAGCTTGGTTGATCTGGCCTTAAGAGACTATTAACTACAGCTCGTCCTTTTTATTATACAAATGTGTCATTAAAAATGTCAACACATTTATAAAGCTGATTCGAGATCAGGTAAAAACTATATAGACACTGGTTCGTGGGTTCACAGAAATCGACTACTAGTGGAGAACCATTATAAAGTCTTTATAAAGTACAGTAACTAGCTAGTACAATCTTATAAATTAGTGATGTGACAAAAAAATATGAAACAGACTAAATTAAAAATAAAATAATCCTGTCAGGGACCATGTGAAGTCATTTTGAGACTATTTAATTGGGTCATTTAGAAATTACTTTTAACAAAGGTAGGTAATCCAAATATTCCAAGCACATAGAAAATCTACATACTGTAGAATTAGTAAAAGTAGTGCGTTGGAATGCTACAGTACATCATGGGTGCTCAATCCTGTTTCAGGAGATCTAACTTTCTGCAAAGTTTAGTTCCTGCTCTATACAATGTTGCAGTTCTTGATGTAGCAAACTGTTGGTTGCTCTTACTCCGCCCCTCCTAGTTAGAGTGCACTAGCCAGAGTGCACTAGAATTCACCAGTGAGAGAACACTAGGTGAAGTTAATCTATTGATTAGCACGGCAGAACAGACTCCATGTAGAGTAGCAGTGGCTTGAACAAAAGAAAGATTCCTTTTGTGCAGAGTTAAGCCTACTACAACTTGCAGAGGATCCACTGATGAGCAAGTGATGTAATGCTAAATCTATTTTAAAATTTTCAGCAAATTTTCATTTCAGGTGAAAAAGAAAACGATTCCTTTAATGCATTAAAAGATATTTATTTTTAACGATACTAACAAAATAGTGCACATTTAAAAAAAATTCTTATTACACAATATGCATTAAACATTACACAAGACTTTACTGTAAATGATGAGACTTACGTCGTGTGAGAGCGTCGCATAGTTTCTCATGCATACTCTCAGTGCACCGCGGCAGATCATGTTCATTTGTGTCTGATGTCATCTTATTCAGATTTTCAAGCAGACGGCATTCTCTGAAAGCACGCTTCTCCTGAGAAAACACAAACAATTCTAGAGTAAATTTGGTTGAGGTCAGTATGTCACGGCTCAAAGAACATACAAGTAAAAAGGACAATGCCACCATGTTGGATGTACAGTACTATGTCCAGGAATGTATTTATACTAACTACACAACTGTATACCTAATGAACACACTGCATTAATTACTTTAAAATGCAATTATCAAAATAAAGTTATGTAATAACCTCAAACTCCCTGATGAAGAATCTAATTTCTCCCTGCAAGACCGGCCTGTGATCAATCAGTCTGGACTGAATGTCACCAACATCTGTGAAGAAACAAATACTGAGGCATTAAATTCATATCACAATTAATAAACAAAAAAGTATCAAATTTAATAAGTTATCTAATGTACTTTAAACTACTTTCATTATATGCTAGGTTTATGTTAGGTGACAGTTTATCTAACATATATAATTGTCTTTACTATGAAAAATGTGTCTTTAATATTTAAAAAAATGTCATTAGCTAAAATTAGTGGATAATATTTAAACGATCATTAGTTCAAGCAACCTGCAGTTAGAAAAGATCTTGAAATTTCAATTTTGGTGTGCAGTCAGCAGCATTTTTTAAAATTAATTTTAGCTGTATTAACTGCAACGAAATACGTCTAAAATGCGTAAAATGTAAGAAAATTAACATAACAACCAACCTTTTACAATCTTCTCCATCATCACGAGATGCTGGTTAATCTGACAGCCTTACACGATGATATTTATTATTCTGCCAAATGTTGTGGCTGACTCTTAACTTTTATAAAGAATATCTCTTTGGATTTGAGACTTTAGTCTTTGCAACTTTACAGATCTTCTTTATGCACCAAGAGCTTGTAACACTCCAAAGAGAAAGGAAAACTTGAAATCGCATCATATGACCCCTTTAAAGAGAAATGCACAGAAATCTATACAACATTTAACATTCTGCTATTTGTATTATTTCATCTTTTTGTGTTATAGAACAATACCTTTTGGTTTGAAGAGGTAGAAGTCGGCATGATATGTATTAAACACCCGAGACTGAATGTAGAGATTTGCTAATGCCTAACAGTTGCCAACAGACGTTAAGGTTTGGCAGAAGGCACAAGGGTTGAGAAGTTCATTGAATTCAATACATACTCTGAAAGTATGGGAACTCTGACGGAGCCATACACTTTATTACAGCATTTTATTTATTCATTTTAATAGCAAGTGTCAGAATAAAAGGTTATATAATAAAACCAGACCTTCCTCCAATTCCTCACACAAAGTATCTGATTTCTCTCTACAGCGCTGGCCTGTGATCAATCAGGCTGGACTGCTTTCTGCTTTACAAAGCAGGGTGTGGGATAATTCATCAGAACATATTACTTTTTCCAGGTTTTGCTCCTTGCGTTGCATTATGTGTCTCCATACTATTGCCTTAAATACAAGTGATTTTGCAGCGGCAGTCCGACCATAAATTCCAGCCTGGTCAAGCCCAGTACTCTGTAAGTACACTCTAGTTTTGTGAAATTTAGCAGCTGTTCTTTCTGTCCCTGTATATGAGTGCTGAACATACTTCTTGTTAATCATTCAATCTGTGCATAAGAACATCAAATGTCCACTGTGAGTTGTATTCTACGGATCTTTAATTGGATTTCAAGAAAACCTTTTATACAAGCTCCTGCATCAAAAACCAGGCAGTGTTTTATCTACGTACAATAAAAATATCTGACACATATCTGTTTATTTCTATTTCTATATTATTATATGTTTACGCTCTCCTTTATTAAAAAACTAGTTAAAAAAACTGGCACTAGATGGAGACAAAACATTACTTTAGCTATACGAAATCTTCTAAAGCTCAGACGGAGACATGATTTTGAGTACTTTAATTGTGTGATTAAACCACGAGAGAGATATAACTTTAATAACTAATGAACACTCTGTATCATATTATCACACACACACTGTTACAAATAAATTGGAGTATGTTTTACAAGGAAATGCTGTTTCGGTCATATGTTTAATTCAGACTAATACTTGCCATTTCTTTGTAATTATTTGTGAAATTTACTAGCAATTTTTGAGTGAATTTTGTTTTTAAGCCATTTTTTTTTACATGAGCTAACTACAATAGTTAACATGAGCTAACAATGAATAATACTTACACAGCATTTAATAATTTCAGTTAATGGTTAATAAATTCTGTAAAAAATGCATTGCTCATTGTTAGTTTATAGTTGATGCATTAACTAATGCAAAACTAATAAGACCTTACTGTAAAGTGTTACCTATTTAGGCACACTTATGCACGTCTGAAACTTCTAATACAGAAAAGTCTAATACAGCTGAATTTAATAAATGCATCATGATATTACTGATTCAGCCTCTCATAGCATTCCTTCTGCCTTTTACTTAAAATACATATTGACATACTAATAATCCAATTTCTTTTTAGTTAATGCATGAACTTATTTTGTGTAATTTTTATAATATTGTGTTTTATATTAAAAAAAATAACTTTTACATCTTTAGTAGCAAAAAAGAAAAGAGTAGAAGTAAGAACCAGAAAATCATAGGGATATGATATTCTCTTTTTAATGAGCCTATAAATAGTATACTGTTGGTTCAGTATGCTGTGTGTGAGAAGAGGACTGGACTGTTATTGCTGTAATGAGAATGTGTCTCTGAGCATCATCATCTCTGTTGGAGTTAATGCTGAGCTTCATGAAACCAGCGTCAGTGCACAAACGTGATCTCTACATTTACAATTGTAGAGACTGACATTAATTTCTTACTGTTTGGGGTCCCACAGGATCTGTTGTTGTGTGTGTGTATATAACATTTTTCATTGGAGGATGTCAAATGAATAAACGAGATTACAATCGTGTTTATAAAATTCTGATTAGGATTAGGAAAAGTCATAACAATGAAACTTAGTCATCAATGAGTTGAGCTGTTAATTATTCCCAGACAACAAATAGAACATAAGGTTTAATAAAATAATAAGCTTTTACCGGGCAATTTAGGCACACTTATGCACGTCTGAAACTTCTAATACAGAAAAGTCTAATACAGCTGAATTTAATAAATGCATCATGATATTACTGATTCAGCCTCTCATAGCATTCCTTCTGCCTTTTACTTAAAATACATATTGACATACTAATAATCCAATTTCTTTTTAGTTAATGCATGAACTTATTTTGTGTAATTTTTATAATATTGTGTTTTATATTAAAAAAAATAACTTTTACATCTTTAGTAGCAAAAAAGAAAAGAGTAGAAGTAAGAACCAGAAAATCATAGGGATATGATATTCTCTTTTTAATGAGCCTATAAATAGTATACTGTTGGTTCAGTATGCTGTGTGTGAGAAGAGGACTGGACTGTTATTGCTGTAATGAGAATGTGTCTCTGAGCATCATCATCTCTGTTGGAGTTAATGCTGAGCTTCATGAAACCAGCGTCAGTGCACAAACGTGATCTCTACATTTACAATTGTAGAGACTGACATTAATTTCTTACTGTTTGGGGTCCCACAGGATCTGTTGTTGTGTGTGTGTATATAACATTTTTCATTGGAGGATGTCAAATGAATAAACGAGATTACAATCGTGTTTATAAAATTCTGATTAGGATTAGGAAAAGTCATAACAATGAAACTTAGTCATCAATGAGTTGAGCTGTTAATTATTCCCAGACAACAAATAGAACATAAGGTTTAATAAAATAATAAGCTTTTACCGGGCAAAGAAAAGATATACTGAAAAGTTATGGAAGCATAACTTTATTTGTTCCTAATGAAGCCATATTTTTGTTCTTTGTTTAGTGATGCAGAAAGGCATCTCTAGTCGTGCTTTGATTTAAAATTATTCTTTAGTGTTAAAATAACATTTTTGAAATAATACCTTTGATACATAACATTTATATTATCAATTCAATAATAAAATGTTATTAAAAAACATAATATATTATATTTTCTTATTCAGAATGCAACACCACAGATGTCATTTTTATGTAAATAGTCTTTATTTATATAAACAAGTTCAAAAGTTTGTGGTTAGGTAAGATTTGTATAGATGTTTTTAAAAGAAGTCTCCTATGCTCACCAAGGCTGCATTTATTTGATCAAATATACAGCAAAACAGTAAAATTATTATAAACTACTACAATATCAGTTTTCCATTCGAATGTATTTTAAAACGTAATGTACTCCTGTGATGTCAAAGAGGAATTTTCAGCAGCCATTGCTCCTGTCCTCAGTGTCACATGATCCTTCAGGAATCATTCTAATATGCTTATCTTCTGCTGAAGAAACTTTTTTGTTGCAGCTTAATTTTTTGTGGAAAAGGTGATATACTTATTTTTTTCAGGATAATCTTTCTTTGATAAATAGAGTGTTGATTTATATTGGAAATAGAAATCATTTGTAACATTATATATGTCTTTACTGTAATGTATCCTTGCTGAATAAAAGTATCATCTGAAGGGGGAAAAAAAAAGCCCCCCTAATGAAAGGTATATATACAGTGGGGCTAGTTGTCACCGAGCCTATATATCAACAGCAATGCGGTTTTGAGTCAAAAGTTCAATTACACAAATGTTTGTCTTCTCCAGCAGTGGTTTTGTATTCTGGTTTCAAACATATACTGTAGTCCAGATCCTTCCCGTTGCTCAAACTCTAGTGCATGGCACGAGCAATATTGAGGTCATGGGGAATGCAAAGACGGGTAAAATGTATACTTTAAATGCGAAGCTTTCTTGATTAACTCCAAATAGTTCTCCAAATAACAGCCTTAACCTTGTTGTCCATCAACTTTGATTGTAACACACTCACATGAGACATTCCTACTTTTTTCACCCTTAGCTTTGACATTTAAACCACTGTAGATTTGTTCATTAAGTAGTTACTCACTGCAGCGTCTCTCAGTGAGAGATCGTGATAAATAATACGGTCAATTTGAGTATGTCTCATCTCATGTGTGGCTTTACTCAGCTCTCCTTTTCTTAAATCATCTGCTCTTGATCTTTCCGCAAGTCCTTCTTCAGGGTCCCCATATCTGGTTTTTGACTGAGGACCCTTTTTACACACAGCAAAGTCATGATAGTTGTGTGAATGATGAAGTAAATTGCATTTTCTGTGCTGTGTGTATAGCAAACCCTGCAGAACTCAATATCATGCCATCTGACAACATGCCATGAGCATTTGAGAGCACAGCTTTACTGTAGATGTCTGTGCTAATGTTTTGAAAGCTTGAACCTTGGATTAGAGAAATGAGTGTGTAGTGTTATGACAAAATGATGTACGCAATTTGCATTAAATCATGAAAAATGTAAAATCCACTTAGGGGAAAAAAATGTAATGGCTGTGTTAACTTGATTTTAGTTTTCAGTATAAGAAAAAATGTTAAATATATATCAGGTGAATATAATGCTGTCAAACGATTAATTGCGATTAATCGCATCCAAAATAAAAGTTTTTGTTTACATAATAGATGTGCGTGTAATGTGTATATTTATTATTATACACAAACATACAGTATAGAAATGTTGAATGTGTCTGAATAAATTGTGGTTCGGTGTCTGTGCTAATGTTTTGAAAGCTTGAACCTTGGATTAGAGAAATGAGTGTGTAGTGTTATGACAAAATGATGTACGCAATTTGCATTAAATCATGAAAAATGTAAAATCCACTTAGGGGAAAAAAATGTAATGGCTGTGTTAACTTGATTTTAGTTTTCAGTATAAGAAAAAATGTTAAATATATATCAG